GGGGGGGGGGGGGGGGTGCAGTGATGCTACAGAACAACTATTCTGGGTTCCCAAAAGAACCTTTGAATAGTTTCTAAAGTGTAAAGAACATTTTAATAATATAAATAACTTTTTTTCCATTATAAAGAACCTTGTGTCTAATGGAAAGTTTGATAGGATGTTAAAGATTCTTCATAGAACCATAGATTCCAATAAAGAACCTTTATTTATAAGAGTGTATGGTACTTTGGAGCACATACCCAGCTCCCATTTGGTTTTACGGTACAGAAAAGAGTTGCCAGGACATTCAAAAATATCCTTCAGTGTTCAGTGAAAGTAATGAAATCATATGGGTCTGGCACGACATGAGGAAGAGGAAATGAAGACACAATTTACATCTTTAGGTGAACTATTCCAGCTGTTTTGATTGACAGGAGAAGAAGTATCGCCTGCAAGAGCAGGTGGACAGAATGAAGGAGACGGTGAGGACGGTGGAGGAGAAGTCCAAACATTTAGTGCACCGTGTTGAAGAGAAGAGCCACGATCTCATCTACAAATGGGAAGAGAAATCTCGCGAGTTCATCAGAAACTTCCTGGAGTTGTTTGGTCCTGATAAAGCCTGGGTAAATGAGGGACATTAAAGCAGCACTATGTAACTTTTGGCGCTCTAGCGGTTAATAAACAGAACTGCACACATCCCGCGGAAGAACATTCCAACCGAAGCTACTTCTCTAAGTTTATGTCTATGGCGATTCACGCAGGTATGTGTTACTCCGCAGCGGTGACGACTCGACCAGGCTACAATAGTCCAAATATAAGTACTTATTGTAAGTGTACCGTAGTGATTCGGATTTGAACACAGAAAAAGTTACATAGTGCTGGGGCATTACACGTGCAGTGCTATTTAGCATGTTTTTCCTTTTTCTTTTTTGCATTTCAAGTTCTTTGTGCCCTCTAGCACATGATCCAGGAGCGGAGTGGCCGTGTTCTCCAGGCTCTGTCTCCCTATCAGTCACCAAGTACGTCGCCCAGCTCCAGTCCCACCAGAGGTCGCTCTACATCACCTGTCTCCCAATGGCCCCTGCTCCGCTTCCGTTCACCACCACCTAAAGGAGCCTCTGTCAGCAGCAGTGAGGGTGACGAGGGGGAAAACTAGGTGGAGACTGGCTTCTCTTTCCAACTGCACATTTGCACAGGCACCTTCTCATTTTGTTTTCTGTATTTTATGCACCAAAATGCTTGATCTACAAATGCAAGGTGCTCAAAGATCCAGACTGGCTTCATAATTCTGTAGAAGAAAAATGTAAAAAGCATTGACTTTTATTATAGAACTGAACACTTCATAACTTGTCTTTCAAGTTAAAGGGCTGTACACACACACACACACACACACACACACACATATATATATAAATAACTATAATGATAACTATGTAAAGCTTCCACACCAACACACAATAACATTATGTTTACTATATGCACACACGCTATGCCACTTTAAATTCTAAAGCTTGATTCTGATTGGCTGCCAGTGTTTTATTGTTCATCAGCTGGGAAAAAAAGTCATTTTGAAAGTGATTTTAACAATATTGTTTTTCTGTGTTGTTATTGTTATATCTGTGATGTGGACTACCCTATTCTCATATGACTAGAACGATTACTAAAACTTCATAGTTATCGTTTTCGTCCTTGGTATGAACAAATACATAAAAACATATTTGTGAGTATTTTATAAAACACTGTTTTTCTGAATGAAATGAAGGGTGTACCACTGACCTAATGTATGAGTGTTTTAATAAACTGATCAGGTTAAATACAACATAAGCTGAGAAGCATATTGCGAAATATGGCATTACACAATCAAGGAACACATAAAATACTAATTACATATTTAATATTATGCTAATATTATTTGTTGACCGTTTCCAGACTGATCGATGGATACTGACAATGACATGTACAGTAAAAATACAGAAATATTTTAAAACTAGAACAAAAAGACTATCATAAATGCCTATATTGAGAGGTGTGCATAAAACATTGTTCTAAATACACACATGCACGACTTATTACCCCAGTCATGAGTCATACATCACTCCATTGTGCTTAAAATGGATCCAAAGCTCACCTTAAAGTGCTACCAGTGATTGGGTATTATGTTTCTATCCTCTAAATTCTATCCTCAGTAGAATTTAGCAATGCACTGAAACGAAAATATTTGAAATGCATTCTGAAATTCACAATACACTGGGCAAAAACTGAAACTAAACAATTTAATCAACTAATTATTGATTCAATTATTTGCCAGTATCATTGCATAAATAGTAAAAAAAATATTTGATAGTAAATTTAATTTCATAATAATTTATACTACAAAAGTTTGGGTTGGTATGTTTTTTTAATGTTTTTGAAAGATTTCCCTTATGCTCACCAAGACTGCATTTTTTTAAATCAAAAATACACTAAAAACTGTAATATTGTGAAATACAATTTAAAATAACTGTTTTCTATTTTTTAATATTATTTATTCCTGTGATGGCAAAGCTGAATTTTCAGCAGCCATTACTCCAGTTTTTTTGTGTCACATTTATGTAAATATTATTTATGTAATGCATTTATTCAAAATATTTTGTAAGTCTTACAAAATAAGTTTTTCTTGACAATTTTGATCTATTTGTTGTATCCTTGCTGAATAAAAGTATTAAAATCTTACTGATCCCAAACTTTTGAATAGTATGTATAATTTATTTGTATAATTTTTGGGATTAAATTTAGCATACAGAAGCCCCATGGTACATCATACTAATAAACTGCTACATTTACATTTACATTTATTCATTTGGCAGACCCTTTTATCCAAAGCTACTTACAGTTGGCAATAAACATGAGAAGTGCCCGTTATACAAGGTTTCAGTCATCGTTCAAAATAGTAAAAAACTAGGACAGGAAGATAATAAAAGAACAGAAAAAGTGAATGCATAGAATTTTAATTTGTATTATTATTGGAGGCAGTTAGATACTCACAGAAGAGATGCGTTTTCAGTTGTTTCTTGCTATATTCTCCACATAACATCCTCCACACTCTCACTATTGTAAAGCTATTATTTTCAGACCTTTAGAAATGGCAGTAAGCAAGTCCTATAAAGGCAAAATATCAAGTTTCCTTATGTGGCAGTGTTCTGTTTAAGCTTGGCTGCTGTAATTCCATCACTATTACTGTAGCAGATACAATAAAGTCATCTGTTGGCTTTATACGTGGATGCATCTCGTGGGTCACTACTCGGGTTACTCCAGTCATCAGCCTCAGGACCTGTCTGGTAATGTCGCCATGCTGACTTATTGAAGACTGGAAGACGTTCAAAAGACTCACTAGAAAGAGCCTGGAGAGAGTGGGAAGAAAACCATTTCTAGTTTCTAGTTGAAGCTAATGTTATTACTCACAAATAGAAATGTCAATGCAAATACCTTAAGATGAATTACTGCATCTGTCCCAAACCCTTCAATTGAGTACAGGTTCAAGTCTCCCTGAAAGTAGCGTGCATAGAGTCTAGAGATTGGCAGTCCATAGCCAAAACCAGCCTGCAGAGATGATATAAACAGTTTGCATGAAACCACACATACAAATACAGACTTATGCTGTCTGATGATTAGTTACCAGTGGGACAGCAGTTTGTGAGGGATCCAGACGTGGTGTTGGTGCAGTGGAATACATGTAATTGAAAAGACGATCAATCTTTCTTAAGGGGACACCTCCACCTTTGTCACTAATCTAAGACGACACATAAACATCAAATTAATAAAGTGCAGAAGTCGCCATAAATATTCGCCATAAAAAAAAGTCTTGTGTGGAACCTTTACTGAGAGATCCTCTTTTCCCAGAGTAACCATTACTTTCACTGGAGGAAGAACCTCACTGCTGTTTTCATAGAGCTCCACTGTTGCCCGCATGGAATTCTGCAAATGTACACATATTACAGTAACTTACCCAAAAGATCTATAGAAAGTAAAAAGAATAAAATAGCTGACAAAAGTCCACCTAAAACGTGATCGTTTGAGAAACACTTCATTGCATTCCACTTTAAAGATCACCTAAAAATATGAACAAAGTTTTGGTGACACTTTGTAATTAGGTTTAATTCGTTACCTTTAGATACAATGAACTACCAATGAAAAATACTTTTATAGCATTGATTTACTAATCCAAGTTGATGGTAATTTCTACATATACTAATATTTGTATTTAAAATAAATTAACATAAGTTATTATGTTGTGCATTATGAATGATTATCAATGTTATTTTAGTAACGTTTAGATACTATAACAGTTTTTTTACTAATATTTTGAATTAGTTTTTATTTTTATATTTTATTTTCATTTTCAAGTTTTAGTAATTTTTGTGTTTATGTGATTTTTATATATATATATATATATATATATATATATATACAGTGCCTTGCAAAAGTATTCATTAATTTTTTTCACATTTTCTGTTGCTGCCTTATGTTAAACTGCTTTAAATTACTTTTTTTCCACATCAATCTACACTCCATCCCCCATACTGGTAAAGCAAAAACAGAATAGTCACAACTTCGTAAATTTATTAAAAATAAAAAACTGAAATAAGTACATTGCATAAGTATACTAAATATTTCACTGAAGCACCTTTACATTCTCAAGTCTTTTTCCCGGTCTGAGGTTCTGAATGCTCTGGACTGGGTTTTCATTAAGGCTATCTCTATATTTTGCTGCACTGAGCGTTCCATCTACTCTGACGAGTCCCTCAGTCCCTGCCACTGAAAAACAGCTCCACAGCATGAGGCTGCTACCGGCACACTTTACTTTAGGGATGGTACTCTGCAGGTGATGAGCGGAGCTGGTTTCCTTCAAACATGATGCTTAGAATTGAGGTTCATCAGACCAGAGAATCTTGTTTCTCAGAGTCTGTGAGTCCTTTAGGTGTTTTTATGCAAAATCCAAGTGTGTTTTTGTTGCAGTGATGTTTGTCCTTCTGTAGATTTCTCCTATCTCCACATATGATCATGGAGCTCAACTAGAGTGCCCAAAAAAGGCAGTAGCGCCAAACACTCCTCCAAAAATCCAGTAGACAAAAACATCTGGTGCGTAGATCCAAAATATACAAAGATACAAAAATGAAAAAGATCCGCACTCCTCCAAATGCAGCTAGAGTGACCATCAGGTTCTTGGTCACTGTGTGTGTGTCTATATAGTTTTAAATAATTTTATTTCCATTTTAGTTTTAGTTATTTTAGTACATAAAGTTAGCATAAAGTAATGTCTTTGCAACTAGCTGAAATAAAGTTTTTTTTTCAACTTAATATTTTATTTCAGTTAACATTTATTTCAAGCAACAAAAATTTTCATTTTTTATGGTTTTTATTTTAGTTTTAGTTTACTATAACAATCCTGATGTTTATTAATTATATTCATACTGCCCTCCTTTTGATGAAAGTATACCTTGAAAAAAGCTGAGTACAAAATGTTTGAATAAATACTTTTTTTTATTCCTTCTACTGTATTATTATAAAAAAATATTAAACTGTATTACCAATTAACTATGAATAATTGTTTATTTATAAAATAGCATTAACTTAGATTTTTAAATTATATTAAATGCTAAAATTTGTTGTTTATTTTCTTTGTTTGTATCTAATGCATAAATTAATGCAAACTAATTTAACCTTATTGTAAAGTGTTACCCGGTTTACTTTCTCCTTTTAAATTAGCCAACTGTCAATTTTTCTTGCCTTGAAGAGCTCAAACAGCATTTGGAAAAGATGAGAGGGCACATAGACCACCTGTATAGGCTTCTTTGGAGCTTTGGCTAGCAGACAGAGGGAAAACAAGACAGGAAGGCACAGATAGATTAAAAGAAAGTATGATTTTGATATATGCTATTAAGGACAATAAAACTGATAACAGTCTCACAGTTGAATTCCCCGATCTTCAGTTCAGGTGCTGTCATGTAGTACTGCTCACAGAGCATCTTTGCTGTCTCATATGCATCTGAGATAAGAGATCAGAATCTTCAGAACCATTTTATGTATCTATGCATTTTAGGTATGTTTTTCTCACCTGTCACCACCTCAGCCACGTTGCAGGCTGGGTCGATGCTTCCGATGTGTTTTGGTTGCGCAAGACAAGCGGCGTCACCAAACAGAAGAGCTACAACAAAATAGAGATCTGCTTACTGCTGTACTTTAGTGGTCTGAGACAATATAAAGACGTCATATTTAATTAATGTAGTATGAGTGACGAATGGAGGTTAAACGTAGTTCAGGCAGACCACCTTAAGTCAGCTTCAGTTATGTTGCACAAACACGCGTTAAGACAGCTTTCAGTCACTAGTCTGTCACACAGACACTCGCTTCTAGCTCGGTGCCAGACAGCTTCAAAATTTCAATTGTCGCGCAGCTACTCGCTTTCATCAAAACACTCACACAGCCAGCTTTCAAACAGATGAAATGATTTGTTCCCCACCGAATTTCAATTCAGATTCAGTTTAGTGATCTTGAACTCACAATTCACCGCATTGACCAGTATAAGCGGCTTGATTAGAAGTGACTTCAGAACAATACAGTCAAGATCAGCCCTCCCTACATGAAGGAGTGTGACATCAGTAGGATCAAGCATCTTCACCACACCTGGATATACTTCACTCTCCATTCATCTGAATGTGTCTTCATAAGCTAAGCTAAGTTTTCCTTTTCTGCTCATACTAAAAGTTAACAGGTTATTGGCAACGTGCTTGATTCTAAGTCATTAACGGAACAGATACTGTTTAGCAAATTATGTTTATCATTGGAACATTCTTGTTGTTTGGCTAAGCTGTTTTTAGGAAACGTGCTGATGATCAATAGGGCTAATAAATTGAGCATCATTCTTGTGGATTTGCTTGTGGACAGCTCAGAATCTGAACCCTTCAGAGCAAAGCCTGCCACCAAAATAAGGTTCAGGACCTCTACAATAATTTTAATCAAACAGAGTGGTCCTGACTGAACTTAACATTTATCAAACAGGAATGTGATGTCACTCACTGTGCTGGTTGATGAGCATGCGGAAAGAAATACGGTTGGTGTAGAAGCGGTCAAGGAAGTACTGCACATTGCTGCTGATGAAGGGGTCAAAACCAAACTTCTCTTTGTATTCGATGACACCCTGGGCCATAGTGGGCACCACGTCATTGTGTCTGTTCCGAATCTTAATCAGGATCTCTAGGAAGCTGAAGCCAACAATAATGAGTTGTTTACCACTGGAGGACTTCAGTTGTTGAGACAAAATCAGGTTTGAACTGTTATACCAAATTATGCAGCAAACATTCATATTCAGTATAAATTCATGTTTAAAGGAATAGCTCACCCAAAAATTTAAATTGCTGAAAATGTTGGATTCTTAATTATGGATTTGTTTATTACAAACACACAGCTTTTCACTTCGCAAGACATTAACTGATGGACTGGAGTCGTGTGGATTGTTGTGATGCTTATTTTAACCTTATTGAACTCTCATTCTGATGGCAACCATTCACTGCAGAGGATCCAATGGTGGGCAAGTAATGCAATGCTACATTTCTCCAAATCTGTTTCCGATGAACAAATAGATTGAACAAATAGATTGAACAAATATATCTTGGATGGCCTGAGGGTGAGTGAATTTTTAGCAAATGTTCATTTTTGGGTGAACTATTTCTTTAAATGCACATCCCTTTAAGCAAGATAAAAGAAAACTATTTTAGACTTTCCCTGGCAAAATTGTATGCGCTGAAAAACAGGACAGCATGTTTGCAAAGGCTGCAGACTCACTCATTAAGGGTGTGGGGATCTTCTGGACTTCTTGTCTCGTACTCTAACAGCTCTTCAAAACTGTGGCTGTACCTGATACCACAGAAGAAAAAAACACATGCATTAAAAAGTTACATAATACAGGACTTGTATTAAAGGTTTGTATTATATAACATACAAAACTTTAATAAGGCTCTTCTCTGCTGGCTGTGGGCTACTCTACTTCCAAACCTAAACACTGCACATGTGCTATTCAACACAGCACTTTGGGATTAGCATTCTAATTAATGCACTGCTTTTAGTATTTCATCAGTTAGCAGCATGTATACTCTGCACAATATGCACTAAATATCTAGATTTGCGAAAATGAAGCAGAATATGTCTACTGCACTAATTTAATGTGCTCAACCTTTTCCAGTCTGATCCACAGTTTTTAAAATCTGATTAGACTGCCAAAATCTAAAAACACTATTTTATTCAAAAGTCGATACATTTAAAAAAAAAGATGATCTCTGGATGCCACTAACTTCATAACAATGTTGCATACTACTATATGTCAGTCGTGGAATAATTAAGTCAAGTCACCTTCACACAGTGCTTTGTACATTACAGATTGTTTCAAAGCAACTTCACTGTGTTAAACAGGAAAGTAACATAATCAATTATGCAAACTTCAAATAGGAAGCAAATCCAATTTCCGCTGTAAAGCAGCTCTCATAAGACAATATTGTTATTATTCAGCTCAAAACAGTTCAGTGTTGATTCAGTTCAGTTCAATAACTATAAAGGTCATAAATCATGAAATTCAATGATAAGCAGCTATAAAAGAAGACAGCACTTATGAACGAATGCAATTCAGCTATATAGCAGCTCTACTGAAGACAATACAGTCATTATTCAGATCCATTCAGATCAAGTTTTCTTCTCATCCAAAAGAGTCAGTGCAGTCAAATGAATATTACATGTTGTTTTGACCCAACTAAGCAAGTAAAAAGCAACAGTGGCAAGGAACCCAAACTCTGTCAGGTGACACAAACCTTGAGAGAAACCAGTCTCAGTCGGGGGACCAGTTCTCCTCTGTCAAAATGAACAAAAAGGGTGTGGAATAAAGCCTTTTCACAAAATAGTATGTTGTACTCCAGGGACCGTATTCTTAAAGCTTCTAAGAATCCTTTCAGAGAGCTCCTAATTTAGCTTAAACATTTCTAACTAGGAATCTTAGCTTAAGAGTGATTCAGGACCAATCTGACAGCAACTCTGAGCAAGGAAAAGACAAAAAATTTCATCTTAGTGAGAAGGCAGGGCTGACCCCGTTGCTAGATATGACCCATTCTTTTGAAGACTGTGATTGGTTGTTCAAGAAGAAAAAAATAAGAGCACTGTTAAATAGGGTCTATTTTTTCCCTATTTTACCCTAATCACTAATACACAGACACAGACACACACACACACACACACACACACAAACACAAACACAAACACAAACACACAGTGCTTAACACATTTATTAGACCACCTGCCATAATAAAGAGAGAAAACAAATATTTTAGGAATCTGTCAAAAACTTTTTTTTAAACAAAAAATTGTTATTTATTGGGCAAATAAACTAAAACAACTAGTTTTTATTCACACATAATAACAAAAACATTTATTTTATATATATATATATATTTTTATTTTTTTATTTTTATTTGTATGGCTTCCTTCGCCCTTGAAAACAGCTTGCATTCTTGCTGGCATTGTTTTTATGCACATTAACACTGTCTCTGTTGTTATTGACTTCCAAATAGTTTCTATATATATATATATATATATATATATGTGTTGTTGTGTAACAGACAGATTAAATCAAGCAGGTGAGTTTATTAAAGCAACTGAGGAGAAGCTTCCAACAGAAGAGAATCCAACTGAGGAATCAATGGAAGCAGAGAACACAGTCTTATCTGGAGGTGAAAAAACAACCAGACGCGGTCCCCTGGCTGATAGACGGGATTGTTGGAAGGACGAGCGTCTGCATTGACCTTGTGCCTCCGGACAGCCCGCTGGAGATGGATATGCGCTGAGTCCCATACCCTCTCGCTCTCACGGAACCAGTTATCTACCGCTGGGACTTCCGACTGCTCTTTGGTCCAGGGAAACAGTGGCGGCTGGTATCCCAAGGACACATTGAAATGGAGTGAGTCTGGTGGTTTCCTGGCGCAGGGAATTCTGGGTGTACTCTGCCCAGGGTAGGTACTGGCTCCAGCTGTCCTGATGTTCATGACAGTAGGCCCGGAGATACCGTCTGATTTCCTGGATTTTCTGTTCGGTCTGGCCGTTGTTCTGCGGGTGGTATCCAGAGGACAAACTGACAGATACTCCCAGGAGGCGGAAAAACCCTCGCCAGACCCTGGAGATGAACTGAGGGCCTCTGTCGGAAACTATGTCTTCCGGGAGACCGAAGTTCCTGAATGCGTGTTGGAAGAGGGCTTCGGCTGTTTCCAGGGCGGTCGGTAATCCACGCAGTGGGATTAATTTGCAGGATTTGGAGAACCGGTCGACGACTATTAGGATGGTCGTGAATCCGTTCGAGGGAGGGAAGTCGGTGGCGAAGTCCACCCCCAGGTGGGACCAGGGCCGGCGAGGGATGGATAGCGGAACCAGTTTCCCTTCGGGCAGACGACGTGGCGTGGTGGAGATGGCACAGACCGAACATCCTTTCATGTAACGGGCGACATCTCGGGCCATGTTGGGCCACCAGTAGCGGTTCTGGAGAAGCTAGAGGGTTCGGCAGCTGCCTGGGTATCCCGATCCCGGAGAGGTGTGAACGGAGTCCAGAAGGGTCAGACGTAGGGTGGATGGGACGTAGTTCCTCCCCTCTGGACATCCCGTCGGAGCAGGTTCTGTGAGAGTGGCGGCATGGATTTGGTCGTCGTTCCCCTCTGGACCTCCCGGTGAGAGTGGCGGCACGGATTTGTTCGTTGAGTGCCCACTGAATAGGAGACATGAAGACTGAAGGTGGCAGGATGGGCTCTGGTTCTTCGGGGGTAGGATCTGGCTGGTGTTGGCGGGACAGCGCGTCCGCTCTGACATTCTTATTCCTTGGACGATAAGTGATCACAAAGTGGAAGCGGGTAAAGAACAGTGCCCAGCGGGCCTGCCTCGGGTTAAGACGCTTGGCCTCTCGGAGCCACGAAGAGGAAGCGGGTAAAGAACAGCGCCCAGCGGGCCTGCCTAGGGTTCAGACGTTTGGCCTCTCGGAGGTATTGCAAGTTCTTATGGTCGGTGATCACCTCGAAGGGGTGCTTGGCACCCTCCAACCAATGCCGCCACTCTTCCAGGGCGAGCTTGATGGCGAGCAACTCCCGATTTCCCACGTTGTAGTTCTGCTCCGCCGGGGATAGTTTCCGTGAGAAATACGCACATGGATGGAGTACTGGGGTCTCACCTCTCCATTGGGACAGGACGGCGCCCACTCCCAGGGTCGCTGCATCCACCTCGACCACAAAGTGGAGATTGGGGTCTGGGTGTGAAAGGGCCTGGTCACAAAAGCAGTTTTCCATTCGTCCCCCCTGCGAATGCGGATGAGGTTATAGGCGCTCCTTAGATCAAGCTTGCTGAAGATGCGGGCACCGTGGAACTCCTCCAAGGCGGCCGGGACCAGAGGAAGGGGATAGGCGAACTTCACCGTCTGGTCGTTGAGTGCACGGTAATCGATGCAAGGCCGCAGACCCCCATCTTTCTTGGCCATAAAGAAGAAGCTCGACGCTGCGGGTGAGGTGGATTTGTGAACGTACTCCTCCATAGCGGTTCTCTCCGGAATCGACAGTGGATAGACATGTCCTTTGGGTGATTGGGCCCCAGGCAGCAGGTCAATGGCACAGTCCCATGGCCGGTGAGGTGGAAGGTGAGTGGCCGCGACCTTGCTGAACACGTCCTCGAACGCCTGATATTCGGGAGGAATAGGAGTGATTTGCTATGAATCTGGGCTTTCCACCGAGGTGGAACAGACAGAGAGGTCGGTTCGGATGGAAATCGGGATAGGCAGATCCTGCAGACATTCCTGCAACGACCTCGGGTGTGCGGTGCCGCACCAGCCCCTTGCCCAGCGGCTTTCCCTGGACAGTGGTGATCTGGTAGGTGGTGGCATTTTTGCAGTGGGGGATTTGGAATCCGGCAAGGCTGTGGGAGGAGATGAAATTCCCCGACGCTCCAGAGTCCACGAGGATTTTGACTGGAAAGGATTGGGTATGATACATTAGAAGTGCATTTATATGAGGCATGCAGGACACATCAGGAGTGATATGGATAGTACTCACCGCTGGGTGTGGTGGACGAATGGGACAGGTGCGGAGCTGGTGGTCATTGGATCCACAGTAGAGACAGAGGCCACGGGTGAGTCGACGAGATTGTTCCGTGGAGGATAGGTGGTAACTATCCGTGATCATGGGCTCTGGTGCGGGAGATGAGAGGCTGGGTGAGGCAGCGGCAGTGGGCATGGGTTCCATATGGCAAGCGGTTAGGTGTTGTGAGATGTGAACCGCTTTTTGGAGGAAGCTGTCGAGCCCCACGGTGTCCTCGTAGATGGACATCTGTTGCCGTAAGGCGGGGTTTAGGCCTCGGCAGAAAGCCGAGAGCAGAGCAGCCTCGTTCCAGCCGCTGCTGGCGGCGAGAGTGCGGAAGCGAAGCACATACTCGTGGATTGATAGATCCACTTGCCGCAGTTGAAAGAGCTCCTCATGCACGGTGACCTCCGTGGTCGACTGGCCGAATACCTCCCGGAAGTGTTTAACAAAGCCGTCCAGCGAGTGAATCCAAGGGCTCTGCGAATTCCACAAGGCTTCCGCCGACTGCAAGTCTTCTCCAGACAGCAACGAGATGATGAAAGCCACTTTTGCCCGTTCCGTCACAAACAGGTGGGGTTGCAATTCCAGGTAGTGGGAACATTGCAACAAAAACCCGCTGCAGGAGGCTGCCTGGTGAGGCGGGACAGCCCGATCGGTAAAGGGCTCCGGTGAGGATGCGCTCCGAGGATCCATGAACTTGTTGTAATCCTTTTTAGGGGCTGGTCTTCTGTCACATCCGGGACAAGGAGGACAGATTAAATCAAGCAG